GAACAGTTTGTTCTATTAACCTGGCATTCCATGATGCTCAACTTCCTGACACAATCGCGGAAGACAAAGTGGTGAAGACAAAGCAAATGTGGTGAAGAAAGCTGATGTTGCCCAGCTATCAAAAGATATAGCGTCTGGGGTCTTCAAGGCCATCTAGCTAAGAAGCAACAAAGCCCACATGCAAGAAGCACACCAGCCTGCGTGATCACAATGTGTCGAAGGGATCAGGTATCAGGCATCAAAGACCCAGAACAAAAAAATCATATCATTGGGAATGAGGGGAAGGGCAGAGTGGAGACTCAAAGCCCATCTATAGGCAACTGGACATCCCCTTACAGAAGTGTCGCAGAGAAGAGACGAGCCAGTCACGGTGCAGTATACAACTTTTCTGTATTTCTTTAATGCTTCCTCCCCCCACTATTTTGACCCCCATTCTACCTTAAAAACCTGGCTAGACTGGAAATCCCCTTGCGGAGGGGTCTCAGGGAGGAGACGAGCCAGTCAGGGTGCGATGTAACAATGAGAAATACAACTTTCCTCTAGTTCCTAAATGTTTCCTCCCCACTCCCACTATCATGACACGAATTCTACCTTGCAAGTCTGGCTAGACCAGAGGATGTACACTGGTACAGATAGGAACTGGAAACACAGGGAATCCAGGGCGGATGATCCCTACAGGACCAGTGGAGTGAGAGGCGATACTGGGAGGGTAGAGGGAGAGTGGGTTGGAAAGAGGGAACCGATTACAAGGAACTATATGTGACCTCCTCCCTGGGGGACAGACAACAGAAAAGTGGGTGAAGGGAGACGTCGCACAGGGCAAGATATGACAAAATAATAATTTATAAATTATCAAGGGCTCATGAGGGAGGGGGGAGCCGGGAGGGAGGGGAAAAATGAGGACCTAATGCCGGGGGCTTAAGTGGAAAGGAAATGTTTTGAGAATGATGAGGCCAATGAATGTACAAATGCGCTTTACACAATTGATGTATGTGTGGAATGTGATAAGAGTTGTATGAGTCCCTAATAAAATGATTAAAAAAAAAGAACAGGTGTAAGTAGACAGAGGTAATAAAGTGAGCATAAACTTGATAAAAATGGGCCTTGTCTTAGTGACAATTGAAGGCATCATGGAGTGATTGAAAATTAGCAATTCAGAGAGAAAGAAGACCTCATTAAATTAGCTGAAGAGGTTTCTGATCTACTTCATTGTTCCACCTAAAATCACATGGGCTGTTGTTTATCTTAATCTGAATTCATCTAATATGCTATTCAATACCTTATATACAATCGTCTGTCCTTGATGGTCAATGACGCACAAGATTTTTACCTTCCCAAACTCTACTGTGGCCAGGATTGTTTATCGTTGCTATTGAAACAGCCAGTAAAAAAGCAGAAGTTGGGCTCACAATGAAAAGTGGTCAGGCATCATCAGGCAATCATGGAAAAAATGACTTTCAAGACCTTTGACAGAGGACAATTTCAATTGGACACTGAGATTGACTGAATTTTTCTGCCATGGAAATGTGTTCATTATCAACTCTGGAAGAAAGCATATTGCAATTTAAAAACCAGCAACAGCGGTTTCTTCCCTCTTTTCTCTTGTCCTGAGTCTTATTCTGCGTCTTTACTTATGTCTATTTGTCTAAGCATGTTACTATGCTGCCCTCAGTTTCCAGCATAATGGATAATAAAGTCAATGATTCTTAGTAGGTTAGGTACCCATTAAAAAAAACAACCTGGCTAGACCAGAGAGCATGTGCACTGGTACAGATAAGAGCTTGAAACACAGGGAATCCAGGAGAGATAAACCCCTCAGGACCAATATTGAGAATAGCCATACCAGCAGATGAAGGGGAAGGCAGGGGGGGAAAGCAGGAACCGGTCTACATATAACTCCCTCCCAGGGGGATGGATAACAGAAAAGTGGGTGAAGGGAACATCAGTCAGTGTAAGACATGAAAAAATAATAATAATTTATAAATTATAAGGGTTCATGAGGGAGGGAGGGAAGAAAATGAGAAGCTGATACCAAGGGCTCAAGTAGAAAGAAAATGTTTTGAAAATGATGATGGCCACAAATGTATAAATGTGCTTGACACAATGCATGGATGGATAGATGGATTGTGGTAAGAGTTGTACGAGCCCCCAATAAAATGATTTTTTTTAAATTCCTAATTGTCTATTTTTTCTTTTGTTGCCTTTGTTCTTAGTGTCATATCTAAGACTTATTGCCAAATTCAAGATCATGAAGATTAACTGGTCTAAGAGTTCTATGGTCTTAGTTCTTACATCTGGGTCTTTGATGCATTTTGAATTAATTCTTACATAGGGTATAAGGTAAGGGTCTAACTTCATTCTTTTGCATGTAATTATCCAGCTGTTCTAGTACCATTCTTAGAAAGACTGCTCTTTCCCCATTGACTGTTGAAAATCAATTGAGCATAGATGTATGGGTTTATTTCTGGACTCTCAATTCCATTTTGTTGATTCATATGTTCAGTCTTTTGCCAATAACAGACTGTTTTGACTATGGTAATCATATGAATAATTTTTTATTGTTATACATACATATAGAAACCACAACATTTCCATTTCAACATTTAAATTTAATGACATTAATTATATTGATCATGTTCTTCAACTATTGCCATTTTTGCTTATAAACTTTTCCATTACACTGAACAGAAGCTCTAATTTCCCCCTTTCCCATACCCTACCACCCCTGGTAACCATTAATAAACTTTAGTGTATATATTTGCCTCTTTTATTTATTAGAAATTCTACTCTTTGCTTATTTATCTTTAAAGATCATTTTATTGGGAGCTCTTATAACAATTCACACATACATACATTGTGTCAAGCATATTTGTACATATGTTGCCACCATTATTTTGTAAGCATTTACTTTCTATGTGAACCTTTTCTCCCTCCCTCCCCCTTTCCACCCTTATGACCCCTTGATAAATTATAAATTATATGTTCATATCTTACACCGACCTCTGTCTCCCTTCCTTCAGAGTTTCTGTTGTTCCTCCCCCTAAGGGGGGTGAGGTTGTGTGTCAATCATTGCGATCAGTTCCCCCTTCCTTCCTTCCTTCTTTCCTCCCCCCACCTTCCCTCTACTCTCCTGGTATCGCTACTCCCATTTCTGTTCCTGAGGGCTTTATCTGACCTGGATTCCGTGAGTCCAGAACTCTGATCTGTACCGGTGTACATGCTCCAGTCAAGCCCAAAGTGAAAGGCAGCACTGGGGTCCTGATGGTAGGGGTGGGGTGGTTGAGGAAGCCTCAAAAAGCAAGAGGAATATTTGTGTGTTTCGTTGGCACTATACTGCTCCCTGGTTGACTCATCCCTTCCTTGTGACCCTTTTGTGAGGGGAATGTACCACTGTCTACAAATAGGTTTGAGGTCTCTTCTCTGGCCCCCCCCTCGTTCTCAAAAATATGTGGTTTTGTTTGTTTGTTTTGGGTTTTCGGGTGCCTGTTAGCTGATCCTGTCCACACACAGGTTGGTGTGCTTCTTACATATGGACTTGTTGCTTCTCTGCTAGATGGCCATTTGTTTAACTTCAAGCCTTTAAGACCCCTGACACTACATCTTTTTTTTTTTTGACACTACATCTTTTGATAGCTAGTAACCATCCACTTTCCTCACCAAATTTGCTTATGTACCCATTTTGTCTCCAGTGATCATGCCGGGAAGGTGAGCATCAGAGAATTCCAGGTTGTTTAAACAAAGTGTTCTTGCTTCGAGGAAGGGGTTAAGCAGAGGCCCAAAGGCAGTGCACTACCCCGATGTATTGCCATATAAATATATATATGTGGGCCAAAAGCTCTATTTTTAGCAATTAATATATTTACATATGTACACACCTTTGTTTATATCTCTATCCATAGCATTGCTTCCTAGATCTTTCCTGTTTCCTTTTACCTTCCTTTTGTCCCACCAGCATGCTCATCCTTCTTCTGCCTCTTAGTAATTCCTCTCAGCTAGATTGCTGTTGCTCCAACACCACCAGGATCTCTACATCTTCCTCATTGTTGCTTTTAATTCCCTAGTTGTTCCCCTTATCTGTGGCATTGTTTGCTCACCACTCCTTTCCCTGTCTCCTCCTCCCCCCAAGTCCATCCTAAACTGTTGGTCTGTTGCTTTTTCCTCAGGCTTGCTTCCCATGCCTATCTTATATAGGTAGGCAAAACAACAATAACAGAGACAAAACAAAAGATTGAAAAAAAGTAACTAGCAAAAAAACTGGAAAAACATACATAATTCCAGGTCTGTCTGATGACCTTTATGACTAGCTCCCCACCTACTTTGGGGGCTCCTCGGTGGCATTGTGGCTTGGCTTTGCTCCCATTCTTGATCTGTTATCTTCCCTTCTTGGTTCAGCCCTACTGTAGGGGGTCCAGACCAGACTCACTTGGTGCCTTACGTGCCAGTATTTTCCTCTCTCGTGGTATGCTCCAGCGAGGGGTCATCATGTCTCGAGCTGTTGTTGGCCCTAGAGTCCTCTGAGTGCCTTGGCAGCTCCGTGCAGGGATGTTGTCCTCAGGGCTTGATGCGCCAATACAGGGTCTAGTCCCTCAGTCTCTCTTTTTCCTTCTTGGTTTGCTTCTGTGTGGGTGTGGCAGGCTGGCCTCTCTCCCCAACCTGTAGGTTTAGTGTTGTCCCCTGTAGCGCCTCTTTTAGATACTTCATCTAAGAAGAATTGTACAGTATTTCTCCTTTTGTAGCACTACTTTTGTATGAAAACCAAGCCAACCCCCCAAAAAAACTAAAGGTGCATATGGTGGAGAAGGACTCCAGGCCTTGAGGGGGCATTTAGAGTGGTGGTTTAGGGGGGTAGTGGGGCATTGTGGTCAGAGAAGCCTGAGGAAGGTTTCAAAGTCCACCCCTGCTCCTTACTGTTTGGCCTTGGACCAGTTGCTTTTCTTTTCTGATTCCATCACCTTCTGAAAATTGGGGATAGCCCTTATCTCATTGCATCGTAGGACAATTTAACAAGTTCATGTATGTCACTGGTTCCGCAGCAGACCACACGGATGTGCTCAGTACATCGGGGCTGTAACCATCAGCGATGAGGATGTGTGGGAAGCAAAGAGGATGGGGGCACCTGAGAGGTTTCAGGCCCCTGGGTGTTAATTCTGAATGTTTTCATAGTTCAAAAGAAGACTCAGAAATTGATGGGATTAAACTGAAAATGACTCAAGTTTACATGTTAAAAGGGTGAATTTTGTGGTCTGCACATGATTTATTAATTAAAAATGGGGAAAATGTTACTTTTGCTGGCAGTCACTCTAAGTTTTGGTGTGCACCTCAGCATACTTTCAAAGCATTAACTGACAGTGCTCTGCTAAACCTTTTTCATTCCCATCTTCTTATTTATGTGACCAAGTTTTCTCACCAGTGGGGATCTACAAAGAGAAAAAAGAGAGATTGGAAAGAGGATTGATTGTGTCTAATGTCTCATTTTAGCAATGAGTCATCTTTTGCTAGGAGCACCTGGGAAACAAAGAGTCCCGTCGAGTTCGCAGTGTAAAGGAAATGGAAAGACTTGTCCAGCCCCACATCCCAAGCAGACCAGCCTGCCCACGACCAGCGGTTCTCAACCTGTGGGTTGCAGCCCCTTTGGTGGTTGAACGACCCTTTCACAGGGGTCGCCTGATTCATAACACTAGCAAAATGACAGTGATGAAGTAGCATTGAAATAATTTTATGGTTGGGAGGTCACCACAACATGAGGAACTGTATTAAAGGGTCACGACATTAGGAAGGTTGGGAACTACTGCACTAGACCATTCTAAACCTGCCCATTTGGACCCTGTCTGTGTAGACACACCTGAGTGGATCCTAGCCTAGGAATAGATGTCATTAGCCACGTCTTCTCTACTGCTGAAGTAATGTTTATTTGTCTTGCAAGTTCTGCCAACCCAAATGACTTGGCCTGTGATTACCACCATGCCATGATGTCATACTTCTTTACTGCTTCTATGACCAAGAAAGACTCCAGGCACAGTAGCCATATTATGTCCCAGCAAACTCCTGCCCAAATGAAGTCACTTAATTTTGGTCCCTGTCGCTGCTTGAATATGACATCCAAAAGGAATGGCTGTTTTAGGGGCACCTTTGAAAACAAATGCAAAATAATAATAATAATAAGTGAATGTGCCTCTTTTCTGACTGTACTTTGCATCTGTCTTTTTACCCTCTATTGGGAAATGCTTTTGGTTTGTTTAAACAAACCTTAATAAAAATGTACAGCTGCAAAGCATCTCACTACTCAATGTTTTCTGGTTAAGAAAATTGCCCATAATCACAGTTTACTTAACTATTCGTAACAGAATATTATTTTTCATCTGTGCATGGCTACAGCCCAATGCATAAATATTATAAGCACAATGGGAGGCTTAAACATGGTTGCAAGCCCTTAATTAATTCATTTATTCCATCAATTAACAAACGTTTTGGGGGGACTAACCACGTGAGGTTAGGCCCTTTTAGAGAGGCATGAGATAGCATGGCAGGTCATTGATAGGACAAGGGTAGCTATGTCAAGATTTGACGTGTCATGGTCAGCTGTCAAGTCTGACACACGTAATTTGTTACTGATAGTAATTAAAGTAGCAAAATTGCTAGATGATTTGCTTTAGTTATAGGTTGGAATGAATTCAAGGTTATCCTTATAATAATAGCATTATTCTCACTTTGCTTGCATTTCAGTATGTTTTAACGAAAGTGAAGGAAATGAGTCCAATTAATAGCCAACATCACACACAAAAAATCATATAGCACCCCAATTATACCCATGGGAGTGTATTAGGCACTTGAACATCATCTATCAGCTATATCACTGTTTAAAATGATTGGAGTAGCCCACGCAGCACATATGTGGAGGAATGTAGAGAGGAGACTCAGGGTTGGGAATAGGATAGGGAAGTGCTGTTTTTGAAATATCAAGTAAACACTTTTTCAGCTGGATTGATCCTAAAGGTTGTTCTGACCCTTGTCATTGATACCATAGAACTTACTGTTTGTTTGTCGGATTCCATCTTTCCTCCAAGTGCAGAAATGTGATTGTCAATTTGGCTTGCCTTAGAGAACCTGTGAGTCTATCCCTTGCTACTGACTACTCTTGCTCCACATAAAGAAATGGTATTATTTTCTTGATTTTGTAAAAGGTGTAATTCCATACAAATGGCAATGTAACCCAACAGGCACTTCCCAGCTCAGGTTTCGTGGGATGACTATGTTGTGGACCTCATATTATATCTGTCTTCAAAAACAGGTGGAAAGTCTCAGTCATGTGTCAAACCAGAAAAGGACCTCGCTAGTAATGAGCTTGATATGTTATCTCTACTGGGCAGCCAGGCAGCGCTTGGGAGGCGGGGGCTACTAGGGGACAGAGAAGAGGTACCCATGTTGTCTTAACTCAAACAAAACAAACCCAAACACTGCCACAGAGCCGGTCCCAACTCATAACCACCCTATAAAACAAAGTAGAACTGCCCTCGTGGTCTTCTGAGGCTTTTCATCTTTACAAGAGTAGACAGCTTCATTTTTCTCCCGGGGCGTAGCTGATGGGTTCAAGCCACTGACCTTGTGACTAGCCGCTCAGTATGTAGCCTACTACACCGCTCTAAGGTAATTTCAAATTCTATAGAGAACAAGAAAACACACTTTCACCTTTCTGATATGAAGTGGAGCTTTGCAATTTGGGCAGAAGCCGTTAGGAATAAGCCCTCACATAAGGATGGAATAAGCAATCAGCTCCGATTCAAAAAGCTGCCCGCTCCGAAAAGTAGCTCTTCCACTGTGGCTTGATTTTCTGATGAGAAATTGTGGTGGAATCACTTTTTGTTCATTGACAAACCATGCTATTGAACATGCTCTCCCTAAATGTGTGCTCTGGTAAAGAAGGATGGTTTTTTTCATACCTCAGAAGCACATTGAGGAATGATCTGAAAGCTGGCTGGAATTGTGGTTCGGGATACCCACTGGATGTGCATGAACCCCCCTCGGTAATTAATCAGTGAGTTTCTAACAGCCAAATATCTGAAGGGAGGGAAGAGGCGCCCTGCTTGGAGAGGGGACAGAATGACTCCCTTCTGATTGAAAAGGCACCATCCCCGGCCTTCACGTTGCTGACATGCAGATGTGCATCTGGCTGGAATCTCTCACGCCCTTCGAGCTCATGCCAAACTGTGTGAAACAGAAATCTAGTTTCTCCTGCATGTAAAAAGACAGAGAGAAATTGAATAGTAGGACAGTTAAAATTCTGAGCACTGCCCGAGAAGGAACATGCCCAAAGGAATAAAAGGGCTCTTGCTGCAAAACTGTAACTGAAGAAAGAGTGGAGCCCTTGAAACAACTTGTAGAGTTGATTGGGGTGAAGAGAGTAGGAGGCGCAAAGCCAGGGTCAAGCCTTGGTACTCCCCAGACAAGACAAGACATAGTTACATTGTTTTCAATCTACCCTCTGGGCGGATGAACAAGCTCAAATTCATGCCTGAGAGAAATCGAAGGATTTATTTGCACTTAGGTGTCCATGTTTCTATAAATCTTGCTTTTATTTAAGACCCTTGACAGGATGGATTGACACAGTAGCTGCAATGGTGATCACAAACATAAGAACAATTGGGAGGATGGTGTAGGACCCCGTGGTATTTTGTTTTATTGTACATCGGGTCGCTATCAGTCAAAACGGACACAATGGCACCGAACCACAGATGGTTACGTTACATTAGGTCAGTGTTAGGTTAGGGTTCCAATATATATTTGGGGGAGACATTGTTCAATCCATAGCAAGCATGTCGGAAGAAAATGATGCACTCGGGAGTTTCATCTCAGGAACACACATTTCCTACATGACAACACCAACACGTGACAGACATCTGTCTTTAGATTTAGTCTTGCAGCCATCTTTAAAAAAGCAAATCTTCCCCAAAAGGTTAAAAGTAACTTATTTAGTATGATAGCTCCCCAATCTGGGTATTTATCAGCGCAATCTGAGAGCCCACCTTCCTTTTAGACTGGGAACTTTAAAAATATAGGAAAGACCAGAGACTAACGTAATAAACACTTGTGTTTTCTCATACAGAGTGGAAATGTTGAAGCTCCCTTTATTTCCCACCTCTGGTTGTCCCGTTTTCATTGATTCAGTGGATTTTCTTCCAGGCCATAAATAATTCATAATATGCTTTTGCATGTCTTCAGCATTATGTCTTGAGATCAGTCTGTGTCAGTTCATAATAATCTAGTTCATGTTCACTGCTGAAGACTAAACTAACAACAGCGACATTGGTGTTACATGCCTTTGAGTTGGTTTCAACTCAGCGACCTCTGTACAACTGAGCGCAACATCGCCTGGTCCTGCGCCATCTTCACAGTTGTTCTCATGTCTGAGCCCATTGTGGAGGCCTGTTTGCCAACCTATCTCACCCAAGGCCTTCCTCTTTTTCACTGTTGCTTCACCGTACCAAGTATGGTGTCCTTCTCCGGCATCTGGTCTCTCCTGACAACATGTCCAAAGTACGGGGGCCTTAATCTCACCCTCCTCGCCTCTAAGGAGCATTCTGGCTGTGCCTCTTCCAAGACAGATCTCTTTGTTCTCTGGCCAGCCTGTGGTGCTTTCAATACGCTTCTCCAGCACCACGGTTCAAGTGCATCGATTCTTCTTCACTCTTCCACATGCAGATGAGGCGATTAAAAATAACTTGGCTTAGGTCAGGCACACCTGAGTCATCAAAGAACCATCCTTGTCACGCTTAATTTATTCATTCCTCAATCGATGGCTGTTTAGGCCACTTCTGAATTTTCATTATTAAAAACAAATAATTTGCAAGGAACACAGGTATGCACGTGTCTTCATACACTCAAATGGAAATTGCTCTAGGGTGTCCCTCGGTGGTGCAGATGGTTAATCTGTTGGGTTGCTAACCAAATGAAAGGTTAGCAACTCTGAGGAAAGGCCTGGCAATCTACTTGCCAAAATTCCCCCATTGAAAATCTGGGGGTATAGCTCTGCTCCGACACACAGAGAATCACCAGGACTCAGAGCTGACTCAACGGCAATGTTTTCTTTTCTTTTTTTTCTAATGCTGATGGCTACTAATATTATGTTTCCAATTTTGACATCTCCTCCTGAGCTCTAACCTCATATATTCGACTGGCTTCTTAAAGTACCCCTTCACCCTTCATCTTGCCCCCGCATTCTTCCCCACCCCCACTCGAAGATACCTAGCTATTTCCAGTGCAGAAGGTTAATCTGCTAGCAGTTCTCCTGGCAGGAACTATGCTAAATGAGTGCTCATTTCCTCTCTAGCTGAAGTTACAAAAGCCTCTCTTTTGTCGCCCAATCTTGAAAGGTATAGGCTACAGGAAAACGGCAGTGGTCAAATTTGTGTTGTCAGATAAAATACTGGGCCCGTCGTTAATTTTGAATAGCATCAGATAAATAACAAACCATTCTTATATGTTTGTCCCAAACATTGCCTGGGACATGCTTATGCGAAAAAAAATTTATTATCTAAGATTCACATTTAATTGGGCATCCTGATTTTAGCCGAATCTGGCAACCCTTGGTAGAAAAGCCCATCTTGCAATATGAACACTTTCTCAATGCTTCTTATTCAAAATTACCAGATCCAGTGATAACATCAGTTGTCAAATGGCTCCCAGCTTGAAATTTCCACTACTCGAATCGCAAAGTTCAAAACCAATTGTTCCGTGTTGATAATTCTGCTTGATATGCAAGCGAAAACCTGACTTGGAAACACTTGTAAAGGCTGAGAATGAGTCACATGGCATGTCTCTCCGCTGCACAAAGGGATAGCGCTTCAGTTTAAGTGCAGCTCCAGCTCAGCTAACATAGAGTGCTGTGTTAGTGCACTAAAACATCCGTCACTGTGCTGTTTTTCTGCTCTTTATTTGGGTAAGAGATCATCATCCAAAGAAATGAGTGAGAGCAGCAGTGAAGCGAAGAGGAAAACTGGGAACCACGATAGAGCTAAAGAAAGAAATCATCATGCAATTGGACTCAGATCGCCACTTGTCTGATTTGGCAGCTGAACACAATGTGGCTAAGTCGACATTATCAACATTTTTGAGGGGAAAACCTGACTAAGTTGGCTAACGTGGCAAAAGGTGTGAAATCGTTAATCACCAAACAAAGAACCTCAGTCACTGAAGAGGTTGGAAAATTCCTCTTCATTTGGATCAATCAGAAACAACTCAGTGCAGGTAGCGTATCGGAGACAGTGACATGGGAGAAGGCGAAAAGCCTCCATAGTGATTTGGGGGCCTCAGAAGCCATTCTTTGGTTTTCCATAAATTCTTATGAGTAAAAATATGCCCACTGTATATCTTAGATGGACTTCCATTTTATAAAACAGGGTGGGAACTGGAGAGGGGAGGCAAACTAAACTGATTAAACCGAGATTATATTTCAAATTGGTGTGAGGGTTCGAAACACTAAGTCTTCCTGTTCTCTAGTACGTGATCTAATCCATAGCAATAATAGGTTGACTGTCTGAAAGCAGCATTAGAATGATCACAAAGGCACATATCCCCCAGAAAGAGATGAGATCTTAGAGTCTCAAGGCAATGACTATTAAGATTGTTATTTCGTTCAACCGGGGGTCTGAGGGTATTTACTTGCCAAGATGCTGTTTCTCCAAGGGTGGTCCCTGGACTACCTATCTCAGCATCACTTGGGTAATTGGGAAGTGAAACAACTGGTCCTTTCAGGGACAGAACCCAGAGTTTTTGTCTCATAGGTACCAACTCCTGAGGCTTCAGTTTCACTACCAGCTTTTATCTGGAGGGACTCCGTGGCACAGGATTTGTTGGTTTGATTTTTCATTACATATTACTAAAGTAAATTCCATCGCGGCAGATGTAAATGGTAAACAAAAGATTTGCCTACTCAATAATTCTCATGTACATAATTTAATGTTGATTATGTTCTTCGTGGTGTACAGCCATTATCATCATCCATCACCATTAATGTGCCCCCTAACCAGCCTCTGTCAATCACCAAGCAGTTTGGGTCTCTTACTTTTGCCTGTTTCATATAAATAGGGTCATATAACATTTGTCCTTTTGTGACTCACCAATTTCACTCAGCACAATGTTTTCAAGGTTCGTCCATGCTGTAACATGCATCAGGGCTTCATTCCATTGTGCGGCTACATACGTTTCCATTGTATGCATCTTCCACATCTTGTTTGTCCACTCATCTGTTGGGAGACATTAAGGTTGCTAATGCCTTATGACTGAGTCTGGCATAGCACTGCATTGTGAACAGTGCTGCCATAAACACGGGTGTACACACAAGTAAAAAAGCAAAATTGAAGAAGGATTTGCCACCTTTCCCAAGAGACCCAAATAGAGGAATCAAAAATAGCTGTTAAAAGAAGAGAAAAGATGGTTGCCCTACTCTACATAAGCTCACCAAATAACTGAACTTTGGAAATTGAAGAAGCCTCAGTCACCTTCGCCATGCCTCAGTGCCTTGCCAGTCCATACAGTTTATTCTTCACTTTCCCAAAAGGACTGACCCTATCTTAATACTTGGGTACAGAGCCACAATGTACTTCCTCTGGGTAAATACTGTACCATATCACAGGGGAGGGCAGAAATTATTACTTTAAAAGAATTGAAAAGAACGAGGACAGGAGGTACAACTTGACTTTCAAAGCATCCCCAGGACATGCCTATAACCAGAATGGCTTTTAATGGAGGAAAAACAATTATTCTTTATTAGGGCAAAGCAAATCTGTTCAGTCAGTCAGCCAGTTTGTCAGTTCACATTTATAGCGAACAGTCTCACATTTGGTCAATTTCTTAATCACATGCTAATAAAAATGACATAAATAGCAGAATAACTCACCCCATGATACTAACATGCAAGTAACCCAAGATGGCTCGGCTGTGTTGCTCTCATTTCATTTTATCACCGGAAGCTTGATTCTTCTCAGTAGCAATACGTGTTGCTAGTTGATACTTGCCTAAATATTTCCTTCGTACTGAGAACATTATGGTTACTTTTTTCAGACTTCAACTATTTCCAACTAATTCTACAAATACGTGAGGTACGCCTGACATGCTGACAGCTGTAGCTGAGACCCAAAATAGTTTGGCCTGTGCGAGGAGACCCAGCGGACAGACAGAACCAGGAGCTGGAAGGTGACAGCTGAACAAGCATCCCTAGGAAAGTGCTAGGCACTCCGTTGACCCTGCTCTGGATGGGAACTGATTCTATTTCTAGAAATAGCACAAAAGATTCCAGCGAGTCATGGGATATACCCTGTCACATAAACCTTCTCTTCCATCTCCTAGCAAGGTTGTGGGTACCCCGTGAACCTTAAATCGGCTTTGAAATTTTAAGTGTCTAATGGATCACGAATAATTCATCGAACCCCTATTATTTCTAAGCCTCTTTACCAGGTACTGAAGGCAATACAAAGACATTTAGGATCAATTCTACTCACATGTAGTTTTCACACTAGTTAGGGAAACAAGACAAGTAGAGCAAAGTCCTTTCTTGTGAGGGGTTAAGTTCCTAGTGAGTAAAAGAATCATTTGTGGACAAAATATCTCTCCAAACTACTTTTGAAAGGAAGGAGGATTCGTACTTCCTGGTTTTCAAACATGCTATAGTTATTATAATCAGAACAGCCTGGAACTGGCATAACAATAGACACATGACCAATGGAGTAGAATTACAAGTCCAGGAATAAGCCCATACATCTATAGTCAACTGTTTTTGAAAAGAGTGCTAAGTCCATTCTATGAGGAAAAAAGATTCTCTTTGATAAATGGTGCTGGGAAAATGGAATCCCCATGCAGAAAATTAACCCAAGATCCATACCTCACACCACGTACAAAAACAATTTCAAAATGGATCAAGGACCTAAATGTGCAAACTAAAACCAGAATTTTTTTAGTAAAAAAAAAATGCAGGAGCAATGTTTTCAGGCCTAGCTGTCAACAATGGATTATACACTACAACAACAAAGCACATACAGCAAAAGACAATAAATAAAAAAATGGGACCTCATACGAATTAAAAACTTTTGATCGTCAAAAACTTTACCAAAAGAGTGAGAAGACAAACTACTCACTGGGAGAATATCGGAGACCATATATCTGAGAAGAATCTAATAAGAAACATACATATAAAACATTGACAACTCAACAATATAAATATTAAATATAAATGTCACATCTTATAAAATAGACCAGATATTAATATAGGAATATATAAAATATAAATAACTGAATCATAAAATGGGAACAGGACTTGAATAGATCTTTCACCGAAGAAGACATTTATATGTCCACCAAATGAGGGTAACGAATGTACAAATGTGCTTTACACAATTGATGTATGTATGGAGTGTGATAAGAGTTACATGAACCCCCTAATAAAATGATTAAAAAATAAAAAGAGTTATATGAGCCCCCAATAAAATGATCAAATACAAAAGATGCTCAGTGTCATTAGCCATCAAACTCACTACCATCGAGTCAATTCTGCCTCGTTGTGTCCCTACAGAACAAAGTAGCGAGGCTTGTGGGTTTCCAAGGCTGGAAACCTTTGCAAGAGTCTAAAGCCTTATTTATCTCCCACAGAGAGGCTGGTGGTTTTGAACTTGCTGACCTGGTGGTAAGCAGCCCACTATGCCACCACGGCTCCTTCTCACATTTCCAATCTCAAGCTAATTCCAGGGCAAATGCCTGGTAAGTGGAACGCCCGACAGGTTGGCCCAGCCCATGTCGTTGCACTTGTTTTCTCTCTGCCTGACCCTGTCACTTTCTCTTGCAGGCTTTCTTTCTGTATACTGACAACTTGTGTAAAAAGGTGTGCTTATGCCAGGCCTTTCTTTACCCCTGTCACAAGAGAGGAGGGGCCATTCCCTGATGGTATGTCTTTGGACAAGTGAAATGAGGGCATGATAGATTGTCCCGAAGATCAAATGTGATGATGCTTGCTATTGTTTGTGTTGTTGGGGCCTGAATCTGTAAAGACTCATTGTTAATGATTATATTCAAAACAACAACAGCAACAACAACAACAAACCCAGCTGTCGTGGAGCTCTGAATCATAGTGACTCCCCAGGTCTCAGAGTAATATAACGTTCCATTGGGTTCTCAACCGCCATTTTTGGGGGAAGTAGATCAGTAAGCCCTTCTTCTGAGATACCTCTTGGAGAACTCAAGCTACATTAGCAGCCTCAGTGGTGCTCATTTACACCCTCCAGAGACTCCTTTCATGATTGTGTTGCTATTGTTCTTCTTATTTGCATTGAGTTGGTCCCTAACTTATGGTGATCCCATGCATAATGGATAGAATTGTGATCCATCCAACTCATTGGCTTATTTTCTGAAGTAGCTCCCTAGAACTTTCTTCCTAATCCATACAGCAGTTCTCAATCTGTGGGTTGCGACCCCTTTGGGGGGTTTAAACAACCCTATCACAGAAGTTGCCCGATTCATCACAGTAGCCAAATGACAGTGATGAAGTAGCAAGGAAAATAATTGTATGGTTGGGGGGGTCCCCACCACGTGAGGACCTGTATGAAAGGGTCGCAGCATGAGGGAGGTGGAGAACCACTGCCATAAAAGCTCCACCCAAAACTGCTCAACATCATAGCAACATCATAGCAACACACAAGGCTTCTTTACCCACAGACAGGGTGACTGCGCATGAGGTCTGTTGCCTGGGAATCCGACTGCATGGGAGACGATCATCCTACCCTGGAACCACCAAAGCCGTTTATTTTATGGTGTGTCAGATGAAGAGAGGCGCACTTTAAAAGTGTGGTAGAAATTCAGGGGGCAGTGGGGAACAACTGCGAGGGTGGACAAGGAGGTTCTCATGGAAAGTTGATTTCGGTGAGAAATAGGTAGTGCCAGAGTTTGCATGGAGGAAGAGCATGAAAGCAAATCGAGGTGGTGGTGAAGGCTTCGTAGGGAACATGGGAGCTGCTGTTGAGGAGTCCTGATGGTGTCGTAGTGATGCACTGGGCTGCTAACTGCAGAGTCAGCAGTTCGAAACCACCAGCTCCTGAAGGGCGAAAGAGAAGGCTTTCTTCTCCCGTAAAGAGTTACAGTCTTGGAAACCCACAGGGGCAGTTCGACTGTGCCCTTTAGGATCACTCTGGATTGGAATTGACTGGATGGCAGTGAGTTGGTTTTTTAAAATTTGGTTGGAGGTTTTGTTTTGTTTTGAAGGTGAGGCCACATGATTGAGGGCCTTAAATGCCAGGCCGCGATACTGAGAGCCGTAAGAAATGATTTTAAATGTTTCACCCAGGGTGGGTATGTCGATGAAGCCTGTCTCATTATACTTTTCCATACTCACCTAATCGGTCCAAGTCATCTCCTGCTAGAAGTCTGATCAGACCACTTACCCCGTCCTAAGTCTCTGGCTCCTACTGCCAAACTCTGGTGTTACTGGCTGTCCCTCCCCCTGGCAAGTATGTCGCCCTTAACCTTCTACACATCATCTTGGGAAGGCAAGAGATCTTTTTGTCTGATTTTTTCACTTCCTCTGGCCACCATACAGAGCAAACACATGCAGGGCCTGGCAGCGGGCGGGGGTTGTGTGTGTGTGAATGAACTCAGGGATTGACTATGGATATGAAAAACCAACTGCCCCTCGGCAGGGTGAGCCCTCCTTCTGGGAGGAGAGGAGAACAACAAAAGGCAGACGGGTTTCTCTCATGGCTTGTTCCTGAAGGACCAGAGTCGAGATGTTTGGAACCTTTTCTGCAATGGCTTTGCCTGAGTTATCCGAATGCCTGCCAAGCCAAACAAAGGCTGGCTGGCTGGTGACATGGCTGCGGGAAGGGAAGGCTGGCCAGGATAAGATGCCCTGATGTGGCCCTGTGAGAGAAACCAGCTTCCTCAGAGCCCAGAGGAGGACGAGAAACAACCTCTATCTTTAATCGCAGCTATTCGAGGAGCAGGTTCTGCTGAGAGCAGCAATCTGTCAAAGAGGAGGAGGGAGGGAAGGAGAGAGGGAGGGGGGAAAAAAAAGACTGTCTTTGAAAAGGAAACCTTTATCCAACCTGAGGTCAAACACCGGAGTCAAACTGTTAAGGGCCTGAGAGGGAGAGCTTAGATATACCATGAAAGAAGAGAGCCCGTTACACTCCTGGTTCCAAGGAACCACTTCAGCATGCTTGTCATCGTTCATCTTCCCAAATACTCATCACATGAAACAGCCCATCTGTGACAAATCTTCATTTGTCCAATGTGGAAACTCATTGCTTTTCTAATACGAATCAGCTTCTTTGCCCTGTTTGCAAAAGCTTCCAAGTCCTTCGACAGAAGCAGAGTCTGATCAGGACCCTTCCTCGTGTTCAAAATGCTGACAATTCCGAGCCCTTGCTCTGCTCCCTGTCATCCTTTCTAGGCTCCCACTCTGTTTGCTGGATTCCCAGCCGAAGCTGTTTTCGGAACTCCAAAATCACCCCTTCAGGGACCTCCCTCAATCCCATCCCTCATCTCGCTCATCTCATCTAGCTGTTAGAGAGCACAAGCATTTTGATTTACCCAAAGCACACCAAGGTGTAAGTGAGGTCATAGACAAACTGGCCCAGGTGTGTTTGCATTTCCAGAAGAGCCATCCTAAGTCGCAGAGTTCTAAGCCGCCAATTTTCCAGAGTTATTTCAGGGCGTTGTGTGATGAGAAGGTCTTATGGGGCCAACTCAAATATACCACACGGGCAACCCTGCAGCCACGTCTGATGCCGTTTCCTTCTTGTGGAATTCTCTGGCCTCTCCTGCCTCACTCTCTCCAAATCCTATTTTTCCTTCGGGCTAAGCTCAATTCTTACTCATGAAGCTTGCCCAGAGTGCTCCTGGCTTGAATCCCTGCCCCACTCGGAAGCCATCGCTCTTCACATGTGCCGTCTGGGTTAGCTGGGTTTCCTAGAGCAAATCCTGAGCAAAGTGAGAGCAGCAATCGTGTTTTAAACGTCTTGTTAGTCTTTCACAGCTCTTAGCTTGGT